GGTTAAATAATTTCTCCATTTTCACCACGTGCAGCGCATTATGGTGGTTGTCTGTTACCTAATGAGAAACGGATGGTATGGAAGTCAGATGCGGTAGTGCTGCTGATATGTTAGCACTGTATCATCGCCTACGGTCCTTTCTCACAGAGCGAATTGTGAGATGAACCTTTCCTGCCTTACAGAACCGTTGCAAAGCATTCTGAAAATCGGTCCTGGGTTTGCCAGAACAGGTTATCTGTTTAATGTTTTCCAACTTGTTCATTGCACATCGGAGAGTGCGACTAGACTGACCAGATGCTTCTCTTTTCTGGTCGATCCAAAGATATGACGTTGATTCTATGTAGGGATCGCATCTTCTGACGGTTTCTTGACTCGGTCTTAAGTGGCGCGTTCACAAGGGTGTAATCAAAGGTTTTCGCGCTTTTCTCTTCTACACCGCTATATACCTTTCCGCATTCAGTCATTGAAGCCCAGGGAGGATGCACCAATATGTGGTCTATTTGGTATGCCCTGTGACCATCGTTAGGGTGCCACGTTAGTTGATGTCGATTGTGGTGCTTAAATCTGATGTTCTTAACCATTTCTCGGTTGAGATCCGCAAACGAGACAGGACGTTTACTATTGTCACATTATTTGCCGAGTTCGAACTTTCCAGCACATGATAATCCAGTACGCACAGTTCATTCTGATACTATGAGTAATATGTCTTTTCGGGGGGTTAGGCTAACTGTCAAATCCATTTTCGACACCAATTTCGGTTGCCGAAGTTGTCACACGTGGATAGAACAGATAGATTCAGAGGGATTCTTCAAAACCTGCTATAGCCATTCCGGAAGAGAGTGGAATCCTTGGAGTCATATCTTGCTTTACTTCATTATTTACAGCGATGGCTACTTCATGATACCTGGACTTTTTAGATCGCTATGATGTATCTAGCCGACCGCGTCTGCGTGAGGTGCACCAGGAAAATTTATGGTTTCTGGATTTGGTTTATACACACTTCCGATAAGCAAACGATATATAATCTGATGTCTTGAATTGAGCATACGGTGATGTATTGACTTCTGACATCCAGTTGAGTTCTAAGGTTCCAACATGCCACTTTCATACTGCTTACAGTTTAAGGGTTCCGGGTGTCTGGGGTAGCACGGGACACCACTTCCCAGGAACCCCAAAGCACACGCATGAAGCACACTTGACTGATAATCCACAGAGAGACTTGCCGACTTTGTACGGAATGAGGTCTCCAGCAACACTGGGCTTTTACCGGGGTGTGCACCAGATTCTATCTACGGGACAGTCAGCTGATGATGTTGGCAGTCGGTGACGGATCAGGTGGTTAGTACCCATTTTGGGTAATATTTAACCAAGATGGAATCCTAAAGTTAGCTCATGTCCTTTCCAAAGAAACAGACCTGGTGTTCCTTCAGTAGGTTGAACAAAGGGTCATTGTTCACGCGATATCATCGTTAGATATGTGAACTTTAGTCTGTTTGTTCATTGGAAATATTTTTCTTTCTTTCTTATTATTTAACTGCAAATTTTAAACCTCTTGTTAGATGTGATGTTCATCGCTACCGAAGTTGTAAGAAGACCAAAACAAGCTATAAAATTCCAGGCAACCATTGCCTCAGGGAAATTTTGCTCACCCGGTCTTTCAAAACCTTGGTTGAACACGCTTTTGCAACGGTTCATGTCAACATTTATGCCTCAGTATGATGTTAAGTTTATAAATCCATATTGTCGCAACATTCCGATTTTCCATCTGCTCTTCTATCCAAATGGGGCACCAAAAGGCGGCAACCAAAACCGGCGCATGAAAATGCATGGTTAATGGTTG